AAACACAAGGACACTGTAGCAATTTGGATGGATTTAGAGCCTATCATACTCAGTGATCTATCACAGAAACAAAGAACAGAGTACCACATGTTCTCACTGATAAGTGGACCCTGAACACTTACCATAATACTTTAAGGGATTGGCAGTAGTGGGCTACTGCTGGGGTGGGGATGGGGGGGACATAACATCAATAAGGATAACTGATCTCAAATCAGGCAAAGTGGGGACCAAAGGGAGGCCCAAACTTTACCTGTATGATGTTCACTTTTATACCTAATCCTGAATTGTACCCCACATCTTAAAAAAAAATCTAACCCAGAGTTTCGCAAGTGGTTGTTTGATTCAGGTATAGCAAAGGGTGTGTGACAGCATAGATTCATGCTTTAGATCTCCACTGTCTGCTACGGTAGCCACTAGCATATACAACTGTATAAATTCAAATGGATTTAATAAACTGAAAAAAATTCCTCATTGGCACTAGCACATTTCAGGCCCTCAATAGTTACTTTGCCTGGTGATTACTATATTGGACAATGCTAATCTAGAACTTTCCCATCATTGCAGAATTCTAGCATTCTTCTAGAATTGTGGACTGATGAAGTAATTTTATTATTGCAGTAAAGTGGAAAGAACATTAGCTTTGAAGTCTAACAGACCTAGAGTCTAATTCTGCCTCTATCACTTATTACCTTTGCCAACCTTGAGCAAGTTTCCAAACTTTTCTGAGCCTCTTGTTTCCTCAATCTGTAAGTTGGGGATCAGAAATGAAGAGCTGAGAACAACACCACTGCCGAACAATTAGAGTATCAGCAACTGCCACATTCTTCACTGCAGCTTCACTGGGGTCTTGCGGCTGCCAAAAGGCCCTTGCACAGACTAAAAATATGCCACTTCCAAAATATTCAAGACTTACCAGACCCAAAGACTTGGTTAATGTAAGGATTCTCTTTGTAAGATTTTACCTTTCTCTTGGGGGGTAAGGATGGGCAGATACTTTGTCTAAATGAAGAAAAACTAAAACTGTAAACAAAACAATTTAGAACTGGAAAAAGTTACAATTCAGTGTTCTATTACATTAGCTCTAAAAATGGATTTGAAAGAAAGAAGTTGGAGATGAAGGTGCAACTTGAGTTAAATGGGTCAGGTGTCTTGGTGGTTTTTTTCCCACAAGAGAATGGTGGAAGAGCAGCTAAAGAATCAGTTGTAATTATCTGTATGCATGATCAGATACTAACTAACTTTTTACTTAAAGAACAAATCCCTAAACAACTTAATAGCTTGCTGACCTGACAAGACTATTTTCCACTTTTAAGACTAGGTAGACAAAAAACTCAAGAGAGACCTTACCACTCATAAAAATCACTTTATGCTGTCTTATCACTCTCCCTAATACAGCTATTCCTTTAATACTTTCCCCAATGCAACGACCTGGTTAAGCGAGTTTTTGCTCACCTAAGAAAACTGTCATTTTAACTTCCTGTTTAAAATCTTTCTAAAGCCAGGCTCAGTGGCTCAGCCTGTAATTCCATGCCTTGGGAGGCTGAGGTGAGCAGATTGTCTGAGCCCGCGGGTTCGAGACCCGCCTGGGCAACTTGGCGAGACCTCATCTCTACAATAAATAAAAAAATTAGCTGGGCGTGGTAGCGCACGCCTGTAGTTCCAGCTACTTGGAAGGCTGAGGCAAAAGGATCGCCGGAGCCCAGCAGGTTGAGGCTGCGGTGGCCGGGAGCAGCCACTGCACTCCAGTCTGGGCGACAGAGTGAGACCCCAACTCAAAAAAAAAAAAAGAAAATCTTTCTAAAATAAAACGCACTGGGCGCAATGGCTCACGCCTATAATCCCAGCAGTTTGGGAAGCTGAGTTGGGAGGACCGCTTGAGCCCAAGGTAGAAGACCAGCCTGGGTAACACAGTGAAATCTAGTCTCTACAAAAAATAATTAGCTGGGTGTGGTGGTGTGCTTGTAGTCCCAGATACATAGGAGGCTGAGATGGGAGGATTACTTGAGTCCAGGAGCTCAAGGCTGCAATGAGCTATGATTATTCCACTGTACTCCAGTCTAGGTGCAAGAGTGAGACTCCATCCCAAAAAATAAATACATAAAATAAAATGCATTAGTTCACTTTCTCTCCTAGAATATTCTCATTAATAAAATAAACACTCCTGATGATTTAAGTTCTCATTATAACAATTTAATCTGTGATATTTTAGCGGGGTTAAAGTTATAGAATATGGACTTCATGTTGAAAAAGTTTTTATGCAGAAACAGTTATGATCCTATCTCTCCAACTGAGTATCCCAGGTTACTCTCCAGATATCTACTTAATTTTTACAAAATAAAACTCAGTGTTAGCTTGTTTTCTTATAATTCAGACTTTAAACATATCTTCAGATAACTCAAGCTCTGATTAGTTAGTGTCTGACTAATCATGGTTCAATTATATTTGTGTTATATCACACTGTCAATTTCACAGGACCCTTTCCTTGTGAACTATAATACAATTCCTTCAGACTTATGCTAAATGGTAATCAGGACTTTGGGTATCTTGATAATTTTCCCTACTGACTACTTCAATAATCAAACTTTTCTTAGAAGCAATAGCTAGATTAAATTTCTAGGTAGTAACAAACAATTAAGCTCATTTCACTTTTAAAGAATTGGATCTGTATTACTTTGCAGAATTTCCCTGTTAATAGAATGCTCAGTACAAAGAAAACAGCCTTCTAAAATAATTCTCTCTCTTTTTTTTTTAACACTCCTGGGCTCAAGTGATCCTTCCTCCTCAGCCTCCTGGTAGTTGGGACTATAGGAATATGCCACCACAACCAGTTAATTGATTTTTTTGTAGAGACAGGGTCTCACCATGTTGCCCAATCTGGTCTCAAACTTTTGGGCTTAAGCAATCCTCCTGCTTTGGTTTCCTAAAGTGCAAGTATTATAGGCATGAGCCACAATGTCCAGCCATTTGAAATAATTCTTTTTTTTTTTTGAGTTAGAGTCTCACTCTGTCACCCAGGCTGGAGTGCAGTGGCACACTCACAGCCACCCCAGTCGACCTGCTGGGCTCCAGCGATCCTTCCGCCTCAACCTTCCAAGTAGCTGGAACTACAGGTGCACATTACCATGCCTGGCTAATTTTTTTGACATATAATAGAGACAAGGTCTCACCAAGTTGCCCAGGCTGATCTCGAACCCATGGGCTCAGGCAGTCTTCTCACCTTGGTCTCCCAAAGTGCTAGGATTATAGACGTGAGCCACCATGCCCAGCCTAATACTTTTTAATACCTGTAAGTTCAGATGGATTTATTTAAACTAATATTAACAATAGAATTATTTCAGATGGGCTGGGCTCGGAAGCTCAGTCTGTAATCTCAGCACTTTGGGAGGCTGAAGCAGGTGGATTGCCTAAGCCTCATCTTTACAATAAATCAAAAATTAGCTGGGTGTGGTAGTGTGCGCCTGTAGTTCCAGCTACTTGGAAGGCTGAGGTGAAGGATTGCTTGAGCCCAGCAGGTCGAGGTGCGATGGCCGGGAGCATGCCACTGCACTCCAGTCTGGGCGACAGAGTGAGACTCCAACTAAAAAAAACCCAAACAAACAAACAAACAAAATATATATGGGTAGTCAACAGACACATGAAAAAGTGCTCAGCCTCACTAATCATCAGAGAAATGCAAATCAAAACCATAATGAGATACCACATAACCCACTAACGATGGCCATCATTAATAAAACAAACAACAGATGCTGGTGAGGATGCGGAGAAAAAGGAATGCTTCTACAATGCTGGTGGGAATGCAATCTAGTACCACCTCTTTGGAAAACAGTACGGTGATTTCTGAAAGAACTAGAAATTGACCTTCCATATGATCTGCAATTCCCCTATTGGGAATATAGCTGGAGGAACTCAAATCATTCTACAAAAGACACCTGCACATGCATGTTTATTGCAGCACTATTCATAATAGCAAAAACATGGAGCCAACCATGCTGCCCATCAAAACTGTACTGGATAAAAAAATGTGGCACACATACACAATGGAATATTATGCAGCCATAAAGAAGGACAAACATATGGAGTTTGCAGCAACTTGGATGGATTTAGAGTCTATCATACTCAGTGATCTAGCACAGAAACAGAAAACTGAGTACCACATGTTCTTGCTCATAAGAGGACCTTGAACAATTATCATAATACTATAAGGAAGGAATTGGCAGTAGTGGGAAACTGCTGGGGGGTGGTACACCTCATCAACAAGGGTACCTGCATAATGAACATTTGTATACCTAACCCTGAATTGTACCCTACATCTTTAAAATAAAAAAATAAAAAAAAAATAAAAAGAATGATCAGTATTTGTGCCCATCCTTCTGTTGCTCAGGGGCAGCCAATAGTTCAGAGGTACAAAAAAACAAAGGCTTAAAATTTATTTCCATAAGCAAACAACAGAAATACAACACCATTAAATGAAAACTACAGTTAACCAAACTAACATGTTATTATAATTAAAAGTTTTTTCAGTTTTAGAGTCCAGTTTAAAAGGTTGATCTTACTATGAGACTCATTTTTATCATAAAAATATAGATCATATTTTATATTGTAATTTGAAACTTCAAAAATAATGTACTGATAGAAACTAAAATTACTCTTTTATTATATTTTTATTTTGAATCAGGATCTCACTCTGTTGCACAGGCTAGAGTGCAGTGACATGATCACGGCTCTTTACAGCATCAGTCTGCAGCTCAGCTCAGGTGATCCTTCCATCCTAGCCTCACAAGAGGCTGGCACTACTGGCATATGCCACCACACCCAGCTAATTTTTAAATTTTTTGTAGAGATAAGGTCTTGCTATGTTGCCTGGGCTGGTCTCAACCTCCTGGGCTCAAGCAATTCTCCTACCTTGGCCTCCCATTGTCCTGGGATTACAGGTGTGAGCCACCGTGCCTGGCCAATTTAAAATGTAAATATACAGACTGTAATAAAACAAATATACTCACAGCTTGCATTTCTATACAGAAGAAATGGTTCATGGAGCTGAAATTCCAAATCTTTATTCACTGGTTCAACTAGATTGTGCATATTCAGTCTATTCACAATGGTAAAACCATGGTAAGGTGAAGCTGACCTTAAATTTAATAGAAGAAAAAAAAATCTTTAGTTACCATTGAATCTGTTGAAACATTATCTGCTATACACTTGATTTTTATTCAAGACAGAATACATTAGTATATATACAATATTTTCAGCATTTAAAATCTTAAACAAAAATTTTAAGTCAGATCATACTCTTCTTCTGCTCAGGACGCAGTCACTCAAGATAAAGACCAAAGACCTTACTAAAGGGCACCAAGGTCCCACCTGACATGCTTGTCCCCTGACTTCATCTTCTACCTCTCATTCCTTGCTTCCTCTGTTCCAGTCACACCCGACAGGGCTTCTTGCCACCCTCTGCAGGTATTTCCACCTCCAGGACTCTGCATAACTCATCTCCTGCAAGCCTTTGCTCACATGTCACCTTCTTAATGAGGTCTCTATCACTTAAGGCTCCCAAGCTCAATACTGCTAGCCCTCTTCTCTTTAGCTATACAACTTATTTTATATTTACTGTCTCCCCCAACTAGAATGTAAGCTCCATGCAAATGGGGATTTTTGTTTTATTTTTTTCACAGACATATTCCAAGATAGACATGCAGCTGCTGAATGAAATACCATTCATTTATTTTAAAGGCAGGGCTAGGTGCAGTGGTTCACACCTGCATCTCAGCACTTTGGGAGGCTGAGACAGGAGAACTGCTTGGGCCCAGGAGTTTGAAACCAGCCTAGGCGACATAGTGAGACCTTGTCTCTACAAAATATCAAAAAATAAGCTAGGCATAATGGCAGGTCCTAGCTACTTGGGGGCTGAGGTAGAAGGATTGACTGAGCCCAGGCTGTCAAGGCTGCAGTGATCTGGGACCGTGCCAGTACACTCTAGCCTGGGCAACAGAGTGAGACCCTGACTCAAACAAACAAACAAACAAACAAATAAATGTGGTACTAAAGTAGCTACAGTGACTGCCCACCTTTAAGCAGTTCTGAGTTAGATGGAAAATGCCTTAGATCCTACAAAAAGAAACATCCTTTGATTCCGTATATAACGCTTTAGATACTCCTCCCATGTATCTACCATCTCATTTGTGATGTACGTACAGAGAAAACAGAATCCTATTCCACAGATTAGGAAACAAGCTTAGAATGATTAGGGCCTGTGCCTGAAGTGCTGCAAGTAAGGTAACCAGGATTCAGCTTTAGGTTTTTTTGATTACAAATCCAAGCTTCTCCTATATACTAAGTGATCACTGCAAAGTGACATTCTGATATCCTGATATACCTTTATCTGAGGTACATAAAATGTTCCTGCATTCCCCAAACAGAGTTTCTTGGGTTTCCTTTTATTAGAATCAATACCATATAAGTCTTCATGAATTGTATTACATCAAGCAAACCATTACACCGAATCTCTACATTCAGTAATTTTCTACAATCAGTGAATCTGTACTACACATTTTTTTTTGTGTTGGAGTCTTACTCTGTTGCCCAGACTGGAGTGCAGTGGCCGCTTCCGGCCACCGCAGCCTCGACCTGCTGGGCTCTGGTGATCCTTCCGCCTCAGCCTTCCAAGTAGCCGGAACTACAGGCATGCGCTACCATGCCCGGCTGATTTTTTTTTGATTTATTGAAGAGATGAGGTCTCGCTGCCCAGGCGGGTCTCGAACCCGTGGGCTCAGTCAATTCACTCACCTCAGCCTCCCAAAGGTGCGGGATTACAGACCGAGCCACCTAGCCCGGCTGTACTACACTTTAATAATAAAGTCAATAAAGTATTTTTTCCAAATATCATAGAAACCAAGGTTCCAATGACAGAGTCTCTAAATATTTAAATATATATATACTTTTTTTTTAAATTTAAATTTTTTTTTTTTTGAGTTGGACTCTCACTCTGTTGTCCAGGCTGGAGTGCAGTGACACACTCCCAGCCACCCAGTGTCAACCTGTTGGGCTCTGGTGATCCTTCCACCTCAGCCTTCCAAGTAGTCAGAACTACAGGCACATGTTATTATGCCTGTCTAATTTTTGTTTTATTGTAGAGACGAGGTCTCGCCAAGTTTTCTGGACTGGTCTCGAATCTGCAGGCTCAGGCAATCCATTTGCCTCAGCCTCCCAAAGTGCTGGGATTACAGCCTAAGCTACCAAGCCTGGCCTATATTGTTAATAAAAACAATGTCATGCCATAAAGGCTGTGGCCAGGTGCAGCCCATTCACTGCACTAACTGTGCCTGATGCATGCTCAAGGACAAGACTATTAAGAAGTCCATCATTTGAAACATAGTGGAGGCCACAGCTATCAGGGACATTTCTGAAGCGAGTGTCTTCAATGCCTATGTGCTTCCCAAGCTGTGTATGTGAAGCTGCATTGCTGTGTGAGTTGTGCCATTTACAGCAAGGTGGTGAGGAACCGATCTTGTGAAGCCTGCAAGGACCGAACACCCCCACCTTGATTTAGACCTGTGGGTGCTGCCCCACGACCTCCACCAAAGTCCATGTAAGGAGCTGAGAGTCCTTAAGACTGAAGAACAACTATCTTCTGGAAAAAAATAAAATGGAGATTATATTTTTTAAAAAAAAAGAGTAATAAAAAAAGACAAAAGTAATAGGAAACAAAGCGTCAAAGAAAGAGCTTAGTGTAAAGTGTCAAAGAGTTTAGTGTACAAATATCAAAGAACTACACTTAAAAGATGAAAAAACAGTAAGTGTGTTTAGATAAGATCTGAAAGCTTTATATAAAAATTTAGAAGAATATTTGACAAATTATTTTAAATTAGCATTAATGGAGAAAGGTAATCCTTAAAAGAAACACAATACAAAAAAATAGAAAAGACGAGGTGTCAGTAATAATTCCTGTGGCCTCTCTAAGCTTTAAAAAGGAAGAAAAAGAATCTGCCCCTATCAGAGCAAGACCTGAAGCAGAGGTCCTCAAACTTTTAAAACAGGGGGCCAGTTCACTGTCCCTCAGATCATTGGAGGGGCGGACTATAGTTTAAAAAAAAAAAAAACTATCAACAAATTCCTTTCTTTTTTTTTTGAACTATAGTCCGCCCCTCCAACGGTCTGAGGGACAGTGAACTGGCCCCCTGTTTTAAAAGTTTGAGGACCCCTGCTATAGGGATCCAAGAAAATAAGTACCCCGTAACTATCAAATCCTTTCAGCTGCCTTAGGCTCCAAAAGTTGCCTATCAAAACAAAGCTGCAATTTGCAAAGCAATCACATTTTAAGATCATTAATTGTCAAAGGAATAGAAAATAAAAAATATGAGTGGATTGCCTGAGCCTGCGGGTTCGAGACCCGCCTGGGCAACTTGGCGAGAACTCATCTCTATAATAAAATTTAAAAATCAGCCGGGCATGGTAGCGTGTGCCAGTAATTCTGGCTACTCGTAAGGCTGAGGCGGAAGGATTGCCGGAGCCCAGCAGGTGGAGGCTGCAGTGGCTGGGAGCGGCCACTGCACTCCAGTCTGGGCAACAGAGAGAGAGAATCCAACTCAAAAAAAAAAAAAAAAAGAAAAGAAAAAATATGCAATTATGAGTAATCTAGGCTTTCTAAAGACCTCTCAAACTAAAAGTACATATTACTAAAGACTGTACATAATCCAGAACTTTTGAGGCGTCTGAAAAGAAAATAGAACTTGTCACAGAAGATAACCTCTCACTGAGTAATCACAGAACAGAGGGATGGATCTCTCAACTACATTATTTTATAGAGCTAGTTTATGTATTATCTTTTTCTCCTTTTAATATGGGAGGAAGGAGACAGGCATCTGTTTTAGACTCATTCACTACCAGAAAATGTGTTCTATTTTGAAAGAATTTTACAAGGCTCCTAAATAAATTCTAGTTCTGTTTATTCTGAATCACAGGAAGGCTCAGAGAAGAGAAATAACTTGGCTGGGATCTCACAACTAGGGAAGGATAAAACTTGAAGAGAATAAACAAAGTAGGAAGGCTCCAAAGACAAATGTACAATAGAATTGAATCCATTTGACATTGTTCACCATTAGAGTTTTTAAAAATAAATACATGTATTTTAAAAACTTACCTTCGATATACAAATAAGGTCCCTTCTATATCAGTCTTCTCCTATAATAGACAATGTGTAAATTAGTTTTTCCCCCATAATCCAACCCCAAATAGTCCCAGTGGAGAAAAAAATCTTCATATTTAAGATTAACTTGTTTCATTTAATGTAAAGTTATCCATTTTTGAATAGGCAAAACGACTCATATATCTTTTTGATACTACTGATGTATACTCAAGCATATGTAATGTTAGCATTTGTCTTTTTTAATTCGTAAAGGGAAATCATAGAATGAACTTTTACTTTTTAAAGCTAAAATGTTTTAGCCAGGTTTCTTAATTTTAAAGCTAAGGTCCTATATGCAGAAATTTCTTCATGTTTAAAGTTTGTCAAAGTTGGTCAGGTGTGGTGGCTCACACCTATAATCCCAGCACTTTGGGAGGGAAGGTGAGAGGACTGCTTGAACCTACGGGTTTCAGACCAGCTTGGGCAACTTGGCGAGACCTCATCTCTACAATAAATAAAAAATTAGCTGGGCATGGTGGTGGGTGCCTATACTTCCAGCTACTTGGAAGGCTGAGGTAGAAGGATCAAGTGAGTCCAGTAGGTCAAGGCCGTAGTGGCTGTGAGCGTGCCACTGCACTCCAGCTTGGGTGACAGAGTGAGACTCCAACTCAAAAAAAACGTTTATCAAAGTTAAGTTTTAAAAAAAGAAACAAAGAAAGGAAATTTACTTAGGATACTTGTTTCATTACTGGGAGATTTTGATACATTTTCACAAGTAGCAAATTTTGTGGCTTGTTAAGAATCACAATCAAGTACAATTTGTTATTTTTAGAACATAAAGAATCATGAATACTGAAACTATACTCTGCCTCAATGTAAATACCAGAGGCCTTACAAATAACTTTAAAACTTTTTTAGTCTAAAATATGTTTTGATTAAGAAAGCACAACTCACTACAACCTTTCATTTGTTGTGGCAAGATGTATTTAGGTTTTAAACACAATTACAATGTGTCTTAAAAAATAAATAACTCTATTAGTCTGCAGTTCGCAGGTTAGATTAGACCTAAATATTTTACTGTAGTATATACACTATTAAGACTTTAAATGTTAATCATATCAAATTGAATTTGTTGGCATACAAAAATTTATTTATATTTATTTATTATTTTTTAAAAATCAATATTTTTTATTGATTTAAGTTAAGGGTTAGGTATACAAATATGCTTCGTTCAGGCACCATTGTTGATAAGAGGTGTCTCCCCCTCCCCAGACAGATATTTACTACCGTTAATCCCATCTCCCTTCCCCTCCCCCCCTCATAGTTTCCCACAACTGTCAGTCATTTTTCTTATAGTATTACGTTGGATGTTCAAGGTCCACTATATGAGTGAGAACATGTGATACTCAGATTTAAAAATTGATCATCTTGATTTCTTCTGGTAATATTGTCCTAGCTTAAATATCATTATTTTCCTTCCTAAGGATTCAGAAGCTTTTTCTTGCCTTTAAAATGTTGTTAGTTTAAGACACTGGTAATCAACTGTCTCACAGAAAACAACTGTCCCCTTAAAAAACTGAGCTGGGTTCAGTGGCTCAGCCTGTAATCCTGCGCTTTGGGAGGCTGAGGTGAGTGGATTGCCTGAGTCCGCGGGTTCGAGAGTCCCCTGGGCAACTTGGCAAGCCCTCATCTCTACAATAAATCAAAAATTAGCCGGGCGTGGTAGCGCGCGCCTGTAGTTCCAGCTACTTGGAAGGCTGAGGCAGAAGGATCGCCGGAGCCCAGCAGGTCGAGGCTGTGATGGCCAGGAGCAGCCACTGCACTCCAGTCTGGGTGACAGAGTGAGACTTCAACTCAAAAAAAATCAAAAAACAAAAAACAAAAACTGTGCAAAGTTACAACTCACTGTAAATAATAAAAAACGATGTTGATTATGCTTTATATACCAAGATCCAAACAAACAACAGCAACTTATTTTACTTATTTTTCAATTCAAGTTATTATAGTTTGTATACATATTTAAAACGGGGCTAAGCAAGAGTCAGTGAACAGATTGGATGTTACTTTTTGGACCCCCTCCCGTGCACAAAAGCCAAAAAGTACTTAGGTCTGATAACAGCATTCAGAGGTGACATCACCAGCATCACAGGTGGAACAAAACACATAAAGAGCCCTTTTCTTAAGTGCCTTGAAATCTTTTCTCGAAACTATGGAAATACAGTGTAGCTCGATAAAAGTCGGACCCACCCCCCCTTCCAAGAATTGAAACTAATTAGGTTTTAAGCTTTAAATTCAAATGACCTCTGCGAAGGGGTCCCTCCTTTACGTTCCTCTCGGGGTGAGGGTGGGGAAAAGAGTGTTTATTTTATAAATCACGTGTATGTAATTTATCTAATAACCTTCAAGTCCTCAAACACAAGTTTTCAGGTACCCTTCTGACCCCACTGCTCTTATATCCGTCAACGTATCTGCAAGGAGGTCAGGTCGCCCACGTCCCCAGACCCGACCCCAAGGTACTGATCCTGTTCCTCCCCTCCCCTCCCTCGGCTTTTCCCTGGGATGTCTTGGGCCTACTTTTCTCGCTCTTATCCTCCAATCCCGGGCGCCTGCAGGCTCCGGCCCGGCTTTTTACTAGTCCCTGGCCTCGCCTCCGCGGACCTGGCCTCCCGCTTCGCCCCCCACCCCAGGCAGCCCGCGCGGCTCCTTTAAGAGGCGGCAGCGGCCAGGCAGGAGTCCTCAGCGGTCAGACTGCACTCACCCACTGGTTGGCCTTGGGGCAGAAGGTGTACAGGGCGACCTGGCCCGTGAGGTCTGCAATGCTGGTGATGTAGGGGTCGTGTTGCTTCAGGGCCGCCAAGCTCATCTCCTGCCCAGCTCTACTCAGCGACTCCATCTTGAATCCCGGAGCCGAGCCCCTCTGGAGGGGCGGAGTCACAAACAGGAAAGTGCCATCGAGACAAAGTTCCCCCAACTGCGTCGGTCCTCTCAACTTCCGCCTCTCAACCGCGCCTCGCGGCCGGCGGTACCTAGCCTTTCCGCTCCGCCGAGCTCACGCTCCCGACACCGGGTTCCGGCGTTGTCAAGTCCCATCAATACAAACGTGTAGGGCTGTGTCCACCGATGCACAGCCGAGGTAGTAGGCGGGGACCCCAGCGCTAAAATGTCCTAAAACGCCCGGCTAAAATGTCCTAAAAGCCCGGGTGCTGGGAGCAGGGCTGCATGCTCGTTTTCCGAGTTCCTGTCAGGCGGAGGCTGGAGATGGCTGCGGTGCCTGCCTCGCGCGGAGAGTGCCTGGGGCCACAGAACCAAAACGCGCTATGGAAGTGCGGGGCTCCACCGACCGTTTAGAAAATTACCCCAGGTCTCAACCATCGAGTGTTCTTCTAAAAGGAAGAGGCTAAGGCAACATACATTCATACAAGTAGAGGGTTTATTTGAATCCAGCTTGAGGATTGCAACAGGGAGCATAAGCTCAAGTTACTCTGAATATACGCTTCGAGTGGCGGCATTACAGGTGGCTTTTTGTTTGTTTGATTCGTTTTTTTTCTTGAGACAGGATCTCGCTCTGTCGCCCAGGCTTAGTGCAGTGCTTACGAGCATAGCTCACTGCAGCCTCGAACTCCTGGGCTCAAAGGATTCTCTTGCCTCAGTCTCCCGAGTGCCTGGTACTATAGGTGCGTGCCACCACGCCTGGCTAAGTTTTTCTGATTTTTTTTTTTTGTAGAGAACGGAGTCTCACTATGTTGTCTAGGCTGGTCTCGAGCTCCAGGGTTCAATCAATCCTTTCACCTTAGTCTCTCAAATATAAGCATGAGCCAGTGGGCCTCCCTACAAGTGGATTTTTAAAAGAAAAGAAGAGGCAGTTTTTGAATTGTTTACTAGGAATTTACATAAAATAACATTGATTGGCAATATATCTGTACAGTGTTCTTTGTAGCACAAATTCTAGGAACATGAAGATAGTGGGTGAGGCACTCACTCAATGACGTTAGACAATGAGAAGGCATGACTGAAGTCCTATGCTCAGGACTCTCTGGCCCTACATACTTCATGTAGCTCAGACTGCTCTGAGCTGTTTTTTTTTTTTTAACGACATTGTAGCCATTAACAATGTGGTGACTTCTGAAAGAAAAATTTGAAAACAGCTAAATGAACCAGTCTGGAACTACACAAAAGTGTCTTTTCCTATCCACTTTTGCTCCTTATTTTCTTCATCTGGATTCTGCATACATATTTCCATTCAGTTCTGAGAAGAGTTCAACAAGGCTTGGCTTTGTCTTGTATTGTTGAAAGCATTAAATAGATCGCTCATTCCTTTAGCAAGCATCTTTGAGTATTTTAGGGCATTTTAAAGAGCCAGGTACTAGCTAAAGAGTAAAACAAGTCATGGAGACTATAGAGAGTTCTATCCCTTAGACTTGTTAAAAAGCAACGTATATTTTATTAAGAAGACACCCCAGCTGGGAGTGGTGGTACATCTGTACGCCTGTGCTCTCAGGTACTCAGGAGACTAAGGTGTGAGGATTGCCTGAAGCCAGGAGACCAGGGCAACATAGCTAGACTCTAAAAAAAAATTGACATCCTAATTAATTTGTAAGTTTTGAAAGGGAAAAATGTATTTTCATTAAAATAACACTAAATATTCACATTGTTTATGATTTTACACCCTAGGACCATTTGTTAATGGAAAAGAGAAATTTACATTCTTTGCAGAATCTTGTAAGAAGCATGTACAAATTTGGACAAAGAAGTATGTCATTCATTCATCCTTTATTACAATCAAGACTCACTGCAGCCTCCACCTTCTGGGCTCAGATGATCCGTCTGCCTCAGCCTCCCAAGTAGCTGGGACTACAGGCTTGTGCTACCATGCCCAGCTAATGTTTTTATTTTTTTTGTAGAGATGATGTCTCACTGTGTTGCCCAGTCTGGTCACAAACTCCTGGGCTCAATCAATTCTCCTGCCTCAGCCTGCCAAGGTGCTGGGATTACAGGTATGAGCCACCACACCTGGCCTGTTGAACTTTTGCTTGTGAACTGGTTGCTCCTTGGGAGCTTCTCAGTCTTTTAAAGACATCTTCCTGGCTCTGGGAGAAACTGAAAGAAATAGGGCAATGCAGAGAAACAGAGATAATGCTGGAGACATTTCTCTTTGAAACCCAGAGGATGGAGTCACTAACTTCATCTGGTTGGGAAAGTCTAAGAAGGCTTCTTGGAGGAGATGACATTTGTATTGGTGTTCCAGGAGAAAAAGGTAAAAGCTCTGGTTTATTTTGCAGCCTAGTGGTGAGGTAGGGAAGATGTGGTCATACTCATTTGACAGATGATTTAATTGATACTGAGCCAGGGCAGGGACCCCACTTAGGGGCCTGTCAGGTCCCTCAAAGCATGGAAATAAAGGAAAATCTTGAGATCCTTCAAGGGAAATTCTAGACAACTAGCTAGCCCTGAGAAGTAACTGAGCAACTTGATAAGCGAGATGGTAATAGAAGCTTAAAACTGTAGCCAAATATTGATGAAAAAATGCCAAATTCTATAAAATATTTAAGATGGTTTATTCTGAGCCAAATATGAATGACCTTAGGCCTGTGACACCTGTCCCAGCAGGTCCTGAGAACATGTGCCTCCATTGGTTGAATTGCAGCTTGGTTATATACATTTTAGGGAGGCAGACATTACAAAAAAGCATAAAACAATTCATGTGAGATTTATATTGATTTAGCTCAGGGAGGTGTGACATTTCCAAGGTGGGCTTTCAGGTTATAGGTAGATTCAAAGATCTTCTGACTTTCAATTAATAACAAGAGCATTTTGTAGTCAGTATTGGAAATGGGCTGCTTGAGAATGATGAGGGAGTCCAGTTTCTTGCTATGTAGATAAAATCTCATGAGCAGCAGACTTTGGAGAGAATGGGTGGCAAGTATCTTTAAAGATGCCCAGAGCCAGGTGCGGTAGCTCATAATCCCAACACTCTGGAAGGCTAAGGCAAGAGGATTGCCTGAGCCTGCAGATTCCATACCAGCCTGGGCAACATGGCAAGATATCATCTCTACAATAAATAAAAAATTAGCTGGGTGTAATGGCACATGCCTGTAGTTCCAGCTTCTTGGAAGGCTGAGGCAGAAGGATTGCCTGAGCCCAGCAGGTTGAGGCTGCGGTGGCTGTGAGCAGTGTGCCTTTGCACTCCAGCCTGGGTGACAGAGTGAGACTCCGACTCAAAACAAACCAAAAAAATGCTCAGAGTCTTCAAGTCCCCAGAGTCCCCAGGAAACAGCTTTACAGGGTCATAAAATGCTTTGATTTTCCTTCTTAATCTGGTATATGATGTTATGCCAGAGTCAGTCAGATTGGAAAGTAAACCACATTATATAGGGTTAACAACAACAACAACAACAACAGCAACAACAACAAAACCCATCTACCCAGGCCCCTTAGGTAAGAATTTGGCAAAGGAAATAAACTAATGATAACATTAGAACATATGTCCTTGAGTTGTTCTTCAGGAACCCAGACCCCCCACCAAATGGATCTGCTGACTTGTAGACTTCAGATAAGTGGGAACTGAGGACTGGACTCTGATTGGCGTTCTTTGTTCTAAAGTTCTTCCTGAGGGGCCTGGAGGAGGTCACACCCATGAGCCAGAACTAACATTCTTTTCTGCTGACCCCAAACTTTTAGACAGAGCCTTCCTCCTTAACCACTTGCAAATCAGAAAATCATTGAATCTACCTATGAACTGTAACCCCTCCAACCCCTGCTTTGTTTTTGAGATGTTCTGCCTTTTAAAGTCAAACCAATGTTTAGCCTCCATTAAGTTATGATTTTGACTATAATCTCTGCCTCACCATCTTTAAAACCCTTACTTGCAAATAAACACCTTTTTTTCTTCCACTACAAACCTCATTGTGGATGTTTGGCCTTAGTGAGGTTGAGCAGACCTCAGTTCAGTTCCGTAACAAGACCTGGGGGGAGAAATCACTGACTCAATGTACAACACTAGTCGGAGGGATTCAGTATGTATTAGAATCTGGGGTTTCTTGCCTTCTACCTGGGGATCCTTTCCCTCATACCCTGGCTGTCTTTCTTCCTTCCAGTGTCTGGAGGTAGAAGCCCTAGGCCCCTTTGCCTACTTTCAATCCATTAAAAAAATCTGTACCCGGCCAGGGTGGCTCAGCCTGTAATCCCAGCACTTTGGGAGGCCAAGGCGAGTGAGTGGATTGCCTGAGCTCGCAGGTTCAAGACCCACCCGGGCAACTTGGTGAGACCTCGTCTCTACAATAAACGAAAAACTAGCTGGGCATGGTAGCGCGTGCCTGTTTCTGGCTACTTGGAAGGCTGAGGCGGAAGGATCACCAGAGCCCAGCAGGTCGAGGCTGCGGTGGCCGAGAGCGGCCACTGCACTCCAGTCTGGGCGACAGAGTGAGACTCTAACTCAAAAAAACCAAAAAAACAAAAAACAAAAAACCTGGACCTTAATTCTAAAAAATATGTATTTTAAGCTGGGCACAGTGGTTCATGCCTGTAATCCCAGCACTTTGGGAGGTGGAACAAGAGGATTGCCTGAGCCCAGGGGTTCAAGACCAACCTGGGCAAGTTGGCAAGACCTTTTCTCTACAATAAATCAAAAAATTAGCTGGGTGTGGTGACATTCACCTGTACTTCCAGCTACTAGGAAGTCTGAGGAAGAAGGATGGTCTGAACCCAGCAAGTTGAGGCTGTAGTGGCTGAGAGCATGCCACTGCACTCCAGCCTGGGTGGCAGAGACTCTGACTCAAAATTAAAAAAATGTATTTTAAAATAGAAAATACATTTACTTGGTACAGAGTTTAACAGAGATACCTGAAACTGAATTTAGTTTTTTTTTTACATCAATTTCCTAAAATCTGAAACTTAAAAAAATTTTTACCAATTTTGATTGAACAGGACTAGACTAGGGTAGAATACCAAGCTATTTTAGGGAGTTTTCATATTTGGAATAGAAAATCACTTCAGAA